CTTCAATTGCCGTCATCGGGATAATCAACACTCCTTTCTTGAAAACTTTATACGCATACATCCTTAACATGTAGGATGTGTGTTAAAATAATTATCACTGAAACGGGCACCCATCCTTTTGATTTTTAATAATTGTAACATAATGGGCTCTGTTGTGAAAATACAAAATTATATATGCTATATAACATGTCATCTAATTTATGGAATTATGCATCTACTATGCTGAGAACCTGATCTTGCTATTTCCTTAATAGCTTTAAAATATTTTATATTTCTTCTACTGATTTTAGGCTTAGCATGACCTGGTGGTTATGGCGCTCGACTCGCAATCTGCAGGTCGCGAGCTCGAATTTTCGTCATCGAACATGCTCGATCTTTCAGCCGTGATAATGTTATAATGTGGCGATCAATCCCACTATTCGTTGGTAAAGAGCAGACCAAGAGTAGGTGGTGGGTAGTGTTGACTAGCTGCCTTCCTTCTAGTCTATCACTGCTAAATTAAGGACGGTTAGCAAAGATAGCCCTCAAGTAGCTTTGCGCGAAATTAAAAACAAAGAAACAAAGCTACTGACTAAGAAGTTTATCTCCCACTGGCATTGCATGTGGACAAACGGGAAAAAAGAACAACTTTCAAACAAAGAATCAAAGGTAGACTTCTTCAACTGTTTTATATATTAAAAATTATACAATATAACACAATGAAATTAAGTATTGGATCAGGTGTTGGTTGCTTCAAATAATGTAAAAAAAAAGAAACTTCTATGTATTTAAATAATAATCTTTATGGTTGACATTCAAATCGATAAAAGGCAAGTAAGTGAAAATTATCGTATCATAATTACTCCTCAAAAGTGAAACATGGAGCACCTTAAAAGTAACACCAATGTTCTGAGTGAGTTTCTATACATGATATTGATATTATTAGCCGCGGCATAACGGCTCATAAAATGATTCTGAGTTTGTTTGTTTTTCCAAGTACAAACTTTTAACTCATAGCTCCGTCATCTCTCGACCAATTTGAGATCTAATTACACTTTTGGACTCAGGAGGTCAAACCCTCTCGAGTGTTGTATTTGACCACCCCCAAGGTCTCATAGATTAATCAACTCTAATCCTGCCTAAAATAATCTTAACTTGAGTGTAGGCTGGCAGAGATCCTGATGACTAATAAAATCGAATCGGGTATACAAGCGCCCCACGCTTGGTATTGGTGGCGCACAAAAATATGACTAATTAAAAGGTAAAAAAAAAAAGTACTTATTGATTAATTTACTCTAATCGTGCCCAAATGAATTTCAAATGTCGCGACTGTTGTGGATTCCTCTTGTTAGTCGCGGCATAGCGGCTCATAGAATTGCTCTGAGTTTTTCTTTCAAGAAAAAATCTTGAGCTTATATCTCCATCTCTTGACCGATTTGAGATCTAATTACAGCCGCGGCTATTGAGGGTTCCCTTTTGTTTTAATATATCATTTCTAGGTTGTGAATAAAATATTTAAGTACAACATTCATAGATTCAAATACAACAAACTTTATATTCATTTCCACTATAAGATAGTTTTAGAAAATTTGCTTCCCACTAAGTAGCTGTTTCCAAAAGTCTTCAGAAAAACGTGTACAACTGGTTCAATTAGATAATTTTGGAAATCTTAATCATTGGTATAAAACATATCAAATATAATCTATTGGCCAAGATGGTCAGGTTGGAACTTACCTTTTCTATAAAGTGTAGAAAAACAACTTGACATTGAAAAAAAGTTTTCCTCTCATTCAATTTAGAGGACTTTAGCTACTTCGCAGTTTAAATATAGAAAACATTTTCATTTCAAGAATGTGGTTTTAGGCACAGATATAAATATATCATACAATTTACATAGAAACATTTTGTAGCTAAAAATAAAAGAAACAGAGAGAGAGAGAGTGAAAGAAAATGTTTTAGATTTATAAGATAAACACTTTAAGATTATTTTAACATTTCTATTCTACATATTTATGAGTCTCTTGGCACAAAATCCTGCATAGATTTGTTGCTTATAAGCAAAGTTCAGGGCTGATTAACACTATTATTTTATGGTTTGGACCATTTTCCCTTATTTCCATTGTAATTTATACATGTTTTTAAAGTATATACAGTTTCTTAAACATCCGAAATTAAGAGTAGTACTCTCGTGACCACCATAATAAAATAATTCTTTTTTATAGCCAAGGTCCACATTCTTTTTCTATTATTGCACAGGCATCATTACGCCCCATAAGCCTAAACAGATTCATAAGATCAGTTAGTGCTGTAGGTTCTCCATGCTTTGCTTCCCAAACATCCAGGATGTGTTCCGTCGGGCTTGATTTAGTTGCAAAATAATTTAAGTACCTGTAAAAAATAGAAAAATAAAAAGAATAATAAAGTACTGTAAAAAAGAATAAGACAAGTAAGTTTAAAATTCATCAGAAGTGAAATGGAAATACAGAATGAAGACAGTTTATATAAACTGTGAAACTACTGTAGGAGTCATCAACATTTCTGATAAGATTAAGGTTTAGTTGGTATTAAAATGTTTTATTCGAATGACTTTGAGATATTTGAATATACATATATATAATATTTATTCAGAAAAGTTGCTAATCTTAACTAATTATAGAAAACTGTAATTTTCCTATTAAGTTTAACTAAGTTATTTCAGTCTTAAGTTGCTGTTTTTTATCAGTGCGTTCAAAATAACAAATACCCATAGATTTTAATAAAATATTTACATTTTGTTACTAATATTACATCAGTGCCCCTAATTAATCTTTCACTTTACTCAACTTATTTTATCAGTTCTATGGTTAATTTTGAAGGCATTTTACCCTTAAATTTTTTATACAATTATTATATAAGAGTACATTATCAAAATATCAAATTTTCTTACTTTTCAACCTCGATCTATTTCGAATTTCATTCAATAAAGACAGAAATTTAAAATACTTTAAGTTCTACTACTATTCTCACGAGTTTAATGTGAAATTAACTTTTACACAGCACAGATAATAAATACAGGAATAGAATCCTCTAAGACAGTTTTTTTCCTATACTCGACTCAAAGGGGTATATATATTTTTTATTTTGTTTAAGCACAAAGCTATGTGCACTGGGATCGAACTTTGAATTTTGGTGTTCCGAGCCCTACATCTTATAGCTGAGCTATTAGAGATCATTAACATATATATATAATACCTCGCTAAAATTTGATCACAGTTATTGGATCACAATGAGCTATCTGTGCTGTGCCCACCAAGAGTATTGAAATCCGGTATTTAGCGTTGTAAGTACGCAGACATACCGCGGAGCCACTGGTTGGCAGTTATGTTTAGAATAGGTAAAGTCTATAAATATAGATAGAAGTAAATGGGCCTAAAATTGCAAGCGTGAGTATTTCACCCATTATTTGAAAGTTGATACAAATAAGCTATAAACAAACATCAGTGTTATACAAAAGTATGATTACAAACATCGCGACACAGAGTTGCCGTAATGGTTCTCTTATTGAGATTTTTTTTTATTTATGACGGAATTAAAGAAAAAAAAATCAAAGATGTTATGAAATTTCTTACAAATAGAACTTCAGAGTTGATTACTTTTTTTTCGCAATAATTTTATTAAATATCAAGTTACTCGTAAGTATTGTTTTAGTTGGTCTGTAGGCGAAATTTTTTGTATTGTATTTGGGAGTGTATAAAGTTGTATATTTAAATTATATTTTCAATATAATTTAACGTAATATCTAATGAAGCTGGATTTACTATTTTTATAGAGTTATTCCTTACCTGTCTACCCCTAATTCTTGAGCTAACCTCCTCCAGTCATTACTTGTCGTGTTAGGGGGATCCAAACAGGCACATAGTTGTTTGCAGATTGTTGGAGAAATTCTAATCAGAAAAAACAGTTACCTTATTGAGTTCAAATAAAGGACCCATAAACAGCATTCCCATATTTTGATACTTTTTATACACAGGAAGGTAATTTGGAGATTGTTATAATTTCGAGCAAAATAAACTGACATTCTCAAAAATTTTTATCTTTAATTGTCAGTTTTTTTTTTCACTATCAGCGAATTAAATGCTAGGCATACGAGTTTAACGCCAACAAGAATAAATTAAACTTAAAAACAAACGTGTAAATGTTAAACTTGTTTTTATTGTAATGGAGTTATTCATACGTTGGTTTGAGAACTTTAATGGACCATAACTGCTTGTTTTTGTTTCTATACTGAGGCCTTTGAGTCATATTCATACGTTACTTTTCAAGTATTAGTACCTGCAAAACATCAAAGATGGTGCCACATAATAGTAAATATCTGTTTTGGTTTACTTTGAGTATTGTTAATCTCAAAGCTACACAACAGGCTATCTGTGTTCTGTCAATCATGGGTATCGAAACCCGGTTTCTAGCGTCGTACTCCTGCAGATTTATCGCTGAGCCACTGGGGGGGGGGGGTAAATGTCTTTTCTAAAAATCATATTATTGAGCAATAACATGTTTTCACGACAAAACATAATAATTTGATTACTGACTATATTTAACTCTCAAAATACAAACGACTCAAATATGCCTATTTGCATAAAACAAAAATGTCATTGACTCTTAAGTAGGAACTTCGAAAAATACATTGAAACTCTCCAAATCTAGAGTTTAATTAATTAATTTTTTTTATGTGATGCTTACAAAATATATTAACGCGCGCGATTGAAAATTCTATTCTACGCGCAGGGGGGAGGGGGAGGGTGAATATTATTATATTGTTATAATTTTGTTCTTTCGTTGGCGGATTCTTTTAGTTCATCTCTGGAAAATAATTCAAAGTTCAGTTGACGTAGACGATAACAAGTTAGGCTATTTCTACCTCAACGTTTTAATAAACTGCTTTCACTGTACACAGGAGTAGTTCATGTTTATATATGACGCTAATTGCACACCACTAACGTAAAGAATAAAGTTACTTGTATTACTTCACGGACGAAACAAAAAACAATGACTAATTCACTCTACCAGCTAGAAACGACTCTACTCTCTTGAACAACTTTACAATCTTCACAACTATTTACCCTCGAATGTACTAGAAAAACTGATGTAAACGCCCCTAGGATTCTCTAGCCATATCTTATCTTTACGTACCATTATGACCCGCAGATCTCTCTAGCTAAAAAGCAAGTTACAACATTAAACTATTGCTTACAGCCATATTTATAATATACAATTTATCCCTTAGCCAGGACTTTGTCCCTGGGCCTAGATAACTTTATGGATATAGTTACATAGATAATTAATATGCGATTTATTTTCAGCAAATGAGCATATATTCGACATTATTACCTGAATCCTTCTGAAGGGCTATCCATCGGAAGCTTCAAGTTCACATCACCCGTTGTATTGACAGACGAACAGATAGATGGCGCTAATACTGAAAGCGATTCCGCAGGATTTGAAGAAAATTTCTAGAAATAAAGTTCTGAATAAAACTTTGCTTATGTAAACTAACATAAATATGTCGCATTTACTTAACATAAGAAAAAAATAGTGAGCAGTAAAGCTAATTCTGTAGGTTATGAATGTTTCATGCGTAACCCTCGGTCACATTCACTAAATAACTTGGTAATTTTTGTTCATCATTATATTTTTCACACAAATTGAGTATTTATTGCTTTTAATTAAGTCATACTCTTCATACCCACAATTTGTTTGAGAATTAAATCAATTAAGTGTAAATATACAATTATAGTTAAATAGTTGTATGATTCTCAGCTGAAACAATTCAACTTATTTTGATATATTTAAATGTTCATACTTGTTATTTGTTTGTAATTAAGCACAAACTACACAATGGGCTATCTGTGCTCTGCCCACCACGGGTATCGAAACCC